TCCGGCCGCGATACGACTTGAGCCTTGCGAGTAAGCTCTTTTCGGTCTACTTTTCCATTGGCGTTGAGAGGCATGTTCTCCAGTACGCAGATACGCGTCGGGATCATGTAAGGCGGGAGCACGGTCTGTAGCCGCTCGCGAATCTGTGTCTCGAGCTGGCGGTTCTGTACCTTTCGCAGCGGTCTGTTAGTAAAACGGGCAGAAACACGGCCCTTATAATCAGTGGGGAACTGGATCATGACACGGGCTCCTTCTTTGGTACTTGGATAGTGGTGAAAGACGGCATCGAGCCCGCCTTTCTGGGACCATTGTCGCGCCCAACTAAGCTCTACACGGAAGCCTGCCTGTTCGCCAAGCTGCACAATATCGGTGGCTGACAGTGATGCGCAGCTTTCGGCGCGCGAACGGACAGCTGAGATCCAGGCCGGCCCGTCGAGCACCCTCTGCCCATCGGCTCCGACGTCATTGTCCATGTCGTCAAGTGACATGACAATATGTTTCTCTGTAATAGTCTTGCTGTAGGGGATGTTGCTGATGGCGATAGGTCGAGAGCCTGATGCGTTTTGCAGAAGGCGCAGAAGAGAGAGACGATCCAATCTGGACGCTACGAAATCGATCCAAGAATCCTGGTTGATCGGGTGTGCATATTGCGCTGGCTCATCCGTGTCTCGTACGTGTATGACAGCTGCATAGCGATAAGCGCTGAGCTCATTAGTAGCTTGCATCCTCTTTGGCAGAATCTCGACGTGCTTAACCCGATAAGGCAGTCTGCATGTTAACTCTGTGAAGAAGGCAGGGTCAATAAGTAGTTCCTCTTCACACTCTTCCATTTCAGCAATCTTTTTCAGAACATTGTATCTGTTCGCCTTAGCATCTAGTGTATGAAGAGCCCGAGCTGCAAGGAACTGCCTGTTTGTAGCGTACGAGCGTACATCGCCGAAGAATAGACGCTTAACACCTCGGATTGAAACAAGGGTATCAACCACCTCTTTCAAGTACTCTGGCGTAGGGAAGTACTGTGAAACTGAATTGACGATAACGAGGTCAGGGTGCAGCTCATCGAACCGTCCTACATCAGTCGCTGTGCCAACATGCACTTTAGCTCTATCTACTAGGGATGGAATGGACTGTATTGCGTTGTTCACAAATGCGGCTGCCGACTTGGAAGGGTCGAGACCGACGTAGCTTTGAAGCCCTTCTCCTAGATTGAACAGGATCATACCGGTTCCCGTGCCTATTTCGAGCACGCGGCCAGGTGTCTGGCTATCAAGAAGCGTGCGCATCGTGTCATCCAGCCACTCCTGCATATCAGTCTTGTTAATCTCATTGCCGTCGTACATCGAAGTCCAGCCCATGAAGTCGTGACCAATAGCAGACTGGCCGATAGCCTTGATATCCGCATACGTACTTTCCTCAAAGTGGGTTTCCCACACTTCGACCTGATCATTGGCCTGGTTCTGCCCAGTGGAATCGTCGCTGCGAGCCGTAACGAAGCCGACCATTTCTATCTCTTCGCTTTGTTGCTCCCGAACAACGACGGCGACATCGCGAACGGCACCGTATGTAAGCATGGCGTGCTCCACCTCACCCAGCTCGATCCGGTGGCCGCGAAGCTTAATCTGCATATCCATACGCCCAAAGAACTCTATCTGACAGTTGGCAGGTCGGTAGCGTACGCGATCGCCGGTCCGGTATGCCCGCACTGAGTGACCATCGATGGTGATCTGGACGAAGCGGTCCTGATCTAGCGCCGGATCTGTATATCCGCGAGCGAGCCCGTCGCCAATAACGACAAGCTCACCCATAACACCGGCCGAGACAAGCTGCTGTTGCGGATCCATGATATAGGCCCCCGAGTTGCTGATGGCCCGGCCAATTGGAACACCACTATTAAACTTGTCGTCTTCTCTAACATTGTATATAGTACTAAGGACTGTATTTTCAGTTGGGCCGTACGCATTATACACGCCGTTTGGGACAAGGTCGT